TTCCCCTTCGTTGCAGCAATCATAATAGTGGGTCGGAGGAGATTTTGATTTTTTTAAGGCATTGCTTAGCAATGAATGCAGAGACACCCATCTTCATGGATCACTACCCTGTGTAGTAATGCAGCACAATAACGTGTAAAGTTTCCAGAACTGTTGGTAATTACTGATAAGCCCAGTTCAGCTTTCAGTTACATACAAAGCTGGGTAAACAATGGGAGGAAAAAATTAATTAGAGCCCATGTTTGCTAAAGCTAGCTAGTGATTCCATCTGATCACGTTCCTGCTCCTTTTATTCCCTTTGCACAAACATTTGGGTGGTCAGGTTTTTCTAGCACCTAGGTGTGCAGGGAGAGCTTTAGTCTGTTCAAATAAAATGTTTCTCTCTAAGGGCATGGGCCCTTCTGGCAAGTGCTTGCCTATTCTCTGCCCTTGTGTTTGCAGCTGGGAAGGTGTTTGGAGGCCTGGGAAGGTAGAAGTTGAATGGTCACCTCTCCCAAGCAATACTGGGAATCTATACATCAGCAAAAGCAATGGGGGAAGAGAGAAGAGAGGAAAAAAATAATAGGAGACAGTGGGAAAGACACTCATCTGGAGATATTTCACACATGTGAAATATCGCTTGACCCCAGAGTAACTTTATACAATATGTCTTCTGTGACAACAAACACAGACTATGTGAAGAGGCAGAGGGGAATTCACCATCTCACAGAGTTCCTCTTAGGCATGCTCTGAACAGACTGGTGATGTAAATACCGGGCGTGGCTTGGATTGCCTCACTTGCTGGGAAAACTGAGGTAGACACAGTTCTTAAGAATTTTATCCAGTGGGAAGGGTCAGTAGGTGCTATGCAGAAGCTCAAGCGCTGCATGGGCCCTTTGTCCCTCCCTGGCTCCTCATCAAGGACTCAGACAACTTCTGGGTTTTTAGGGGGACTGAGGGTGTCAGAAGATGCTGCCAAGTCTCTAAAATCCATGTTGTCTTTATGACCAGTTGAGCCCCCTCACTACAGTAGGTCTGACTTAGTAATGTCAAAGCAAGACTAGTCTTGAGAAGGTAGTCAGAGCAGATGACCCCCCAAATGTCCTTTCCAGCTAAAATAACTCCATAATTCTAGTTATGTGGGGTCATATTTATTTATCCATATCCTTGAAGAGTGTCTTTATTTTCCTTCATACCATTTACCAGTTTTATACAGAAGGAATGCCTGTTCTGCTCTGCCATTCTCAGAGATCAGGAATGTGATCAGGATGAAAGTGATATCTCCTCAACTGATTATAAATATTGTGTATATCTTTCCTTCTTCTGCATCCTCAGAGAAACTCAGATACCTCTGCTGGTGAGGACCATGTTTGGTCAAGGATAAACAGAGAAAGGACTTGAGTGTCCTCAGCATCATCTCCTCACATTTCCATTCGCTGAAGTGCTCCCTCAGAGTCAGTGCATCTGTGATTTCTTCAGATTCATCTCTAACGTGTAGCAACAAGGTCAGGCAATTATAGGTATGGCTTGGTGTTTTGCTGTCAATGAACAGTTTGGTGAGACGTGGCATCTGCTTAGACTCATAATGAGTTTCTCTTCTGAAGAAATGCTTGGCAGATGGATCCATAAAATCCTACACTTAAGTGCATCCTTTTATTGCTGCTGTTCATGCCCTGGTATGCAAAGCTGTGTTTTATGGGGTATTGAGAAAGGCTCAGATCAAAGCTAATGGGATTTACTCATGATACCTTCAACAAGGAGTTCAAAAGATAGGAAATCATCTATGAAGACATTCGGACTTCACATATCTATTTCTGTTAGGATACAACAGAAAAAAAAAAGGATTCTGGTCAGAGGCCTAATATCAGTCTCTCCTTTTTTGGAGAGACTGATATTGGACAACAAGGACCCCTTCTAACTTTGCCTGCATGGTCTCCCCTTGGCCTCCAGCCACAAGTATCTGCCCTGGCAGTATGCTTCTAAAACAAACTCACAGTGTGTGAATGTAAATAAATTCTCCCCTCTCCCTGTTTGAGATACTTTCAGGAAAGAAAATATCCCTATGTTCTAAATTTTGTTTATTCTGAATACAGTTGCTGGATGTAAGCCATTCTAATGGCTTACATCTCTACTTCTTTTGTAGAGAGCTCAGATGTTGAAGAATTTGATGTCAAGCATTACACAAGTCTGTATCATTTGTACTCATGTTTTAAAATTCCTGGCATAGAGGAGTAGCAAAACCCACCACCAAACACCAAAACAAGGCCCCCAGATCTGTGTGCTCTTGCACTTTGGCTGTCCCTGGGGTCTTCATGGAATTTACAAAACCGGGAGCAGAGCCTGACACAAGGTGTCAGGTGGCAAGTGTGTGTGGTACTTGCTTGTCAGATAATGATTCATTTAGGAATGCAGACGAGGAGAAGGAAGCCTCCTTCTGTACCTAGCACAGCCCCTGCAAATCAGGTGTCAAATTTGCTGTCGTGTAGCGAGCAAGTGCTTGGCAAGTTGTTCCTGGTGTGTAGGTTACAGAAGTGGTGCTGCTTTAACACAGGTAATTGTGCTGGTGTCCGGCAGCAGACCCTGGGACGCTTTGCTCGCTGTGCGGCAGAGCCTGGGCCACCAGCCAGCCGAGCTGCGTGCACTTGCTCGTGCTCAATTAGCAGGTTCAGCCTGTGTATGCAATCCACGCTGACTGCAGTGCCAAGGCACCAGTTGCCCTCAGCAGCTAATAATATAGAACTGCACAGCACAGTTAATTAAGTAGGTACAGTTTATTCCATGGTATGTTCCCTACATGCGAAATGCTGTGTGGTTTTCGGCTAGCGATGTACCTTGTGGCTCTCAGAGTTGTCCCTTGGGGTCCTGGTGTCAGGTGCTGGTTCCTTCTCTCTGCTCTGTGTCAGACCTTGATCTGCACCCAGGGTTCAGGAGGCCATGACTAACACCAAAAATGTAAGGTCTTCTTCTGAACTAAACTCTTGTGGAGTCTGGACTTCAGTTAGTTTTTCTTTGGCCATCTTTGACATCTTTTGCCTTCTAAGCTAGGATTCCAAAGATCTAAATAGTAGTTCTCTGCTGCTGGAAAACAGGCTAGCATCAGGGTTTCTGTGAATGCTTCCTGCTGATCACTCACTGTCATCCCCACCAGTGTTTTTTCAGTGCACTGAAACACACAGCAGCCTATTGCAGAGATTCTTTCTTGGCTTCAGTCGTTCACACAGGCAGAGAGCTATGATTTATATGTCCAGAGGATATATGGGAAACACTTTAAAAATAGAAACGTTCTTGTTTTATAAGCTTCCAGAATCCCCTTTCAGAGAGAAACATGTTTTCCAGACTGTGCATCATGTTTGGAGGAAGATTTTTACAACTGCATTTTTCATTTGGGATGAAGAGAGATGCACTGGTGCTTTATAATGACACTAAAAATCATTAAAGAAAAAAACAAAATCAAATCAACATAGGCGTAATTTATGAATGATTGATAGTCATCTGAGGCCAGTGTATGAGCAAACCTTGCTTTCTCCTCTGTCTCTGCTTGCTACAATAAGTGTTTGACAGCATCTGCCATTTGTCTGGGTCAAAGTGAAATGTCCATTTTGTTTTGAGGAGGAATCAAGAATTTTTACAGTGCACCTCAATTAATATTTTGTTCTTAGGTTGCAAAGAAATCTTTACTGCCGCACTGTAAATGAGGTGTAAGTCCGCTGAAATAAAAGACTGGTTTAAGCAGAGACCAGAAAACACTACTACATGTTTCTTTTAAAAGGAAAGAAAATAAAAAATCAACTAATAAAGCAAAAAAAACAAAACAAAAAAACAAAAACCTGGGGAAGACAGTGAAAGATAGATGAATGATCTGGTAGTTATATCTACACCAAGCACCACTCATGCATTAATCCATTCTTGCTTTGCCAACATTGTTGAGCAGGTAGAAACCAAACTCTTCCAACCTTCTCTGTCCTTTGCTACTTCTCACCTTCTTTCCTGTTTGGAAATCAAACACTTAGCTCTCTCTCTGCTATGGACATTTGAAAGGCTTCTGTTGTGTTCTCTTCCTAGAGTTAGCTTCCAGTTCAAATGGCAGTGGACAGGCAAGATAGGAAAGTTTAATGGTTAATTTGTAGAACAGAATTATTAATTTTAGAAAATAGAAGACCATGAATCCTGTGTACTGGGGATGTCACTTGCGACGACAAGGAAGGCATCCAGATACTCATGAGAACTGATGGACATGTGAAGGACGTAGCCCTGTGCTGCTTATGTACCACTGGCACTGGAATAATTACCCTGCACACAGATCTCAGATGTCAGGAAGGCAAAATGTCTGACTGCAACAGTCTGTGGTCTGACATAGAACAAAACACAACAAAGCTAGGCGGGAAAAGAGCAAGAATTAGGAGAGCAGTAATAAGATCACACAGTAAGTAGCTGCCTACATGCACAATTAGATGGTTCCAAGCCATTTTAAAGAGGAGTTGTGTGAATAATTGATTTTTCAGTTCACTGGTCAAACTGAAGAAAAAAAACCATTCATTTTGGATTGACCTGAAGCATAAAATTTTATTGGCTTTCTTGGAAAAATTAAAAAAAAAAAGGTTAGGGAAAATGATTTGGGGTTGAAGTCAAAGTTAATGATTCATTTATTTGGAGGAATTGAAATGCTCATTAAGTGCATCTTAAATTTAGAGAAGTTTAGAAATAACTTTTGGGAAAAAAAAGGTTTTGAAAATATGTGAAAAATATTGTGAAAATATGGAAATAATTTATCTTTGTTTGAAATCTTGGTCCTTTTCAGTCAAAATTATTAGCCAAATCAAGCCAATTTCAGAAACAATTTTAACCAGACTTATTTGCCTATTACCTGGCAACATTGCTTCCTCTGTCCTTTAACCCTTATTTCACATGACAGTGCATTTGTTGAAAGGCAGGTTGTAAACAAATTCTGAGGGAAATGATGGCTTGATTTTCAAATTATGATTTTAAACTTACTTTTGTTGGACATGAACAACATAATTCTAAATCTGTTTTCTTTATTATGAAGCTAAGATTAGAGAGAAAATATTCAAACAAAGGAATAATTTAGTTTTTTATTTTTAAATAATGAATAAATAATGTAAATAAGGCTTGACAAATGAAGAAAGTTTTAGTTAAGCATTCCATACACAGACCACTAGCACCACCAGTCCTGAGGAAACAAAAAAAAAATGAAATCGTCTTTGGTTTCAGAGTATTCAGATAAGCATCACAGGTTTTCCCTGTAGTTCCAAAGTCATCATTCCTGAGGCAAGCTGGGGCTTACCCAAAGTGCAGAGGGGTCCTGTGTGGAGCTGAGGGTGGGTGAGATCATTTTCTGGTCACGCTGACTGCCCAGGTGTCAGCTCCCAAGGCTGGATCTCTCTTTCTCACTTCCTAAGGAAAAGCTGGCATGCCTCCTGTGGGCTGTGCTTTCAAGCTTGCTCTTCTTCCTGCAACAGTTCAAAGATCAAAGAAGGAGCAGAGGCTGTTTCCCAGGAGCCAAAAGACACCCATCACACAGACCCTGTGGGAGATGCCTGGCAAAGGAGCAGAATTTAGTGATAATTTTTTTTCTTTGTAGCCAGTTTCTTCCAGTCCTTTAATATTCATTACATTGAAAATATTTCCTCTCTTACAAATACCACCTATTTTTTATTGGTTCTCTCTTAAGTGTGCTTTATTTCTGCACATAATACTTTATGTATACACTTAAGAGTTCCTGAATTAATTACTTCTTCTTGCATTAGCTGAGTAACTTTGAGCAAGAAAAGGAAAGAAGCTCAAAGGTGATCTAAAATGACCACACTTCTCACATCCACCTCTCAGAATCACTGCCCTGGTATATTTGGTGCCCAGGGCCTCTGTCTGGGTCAGGGGGTGAGGTCTTTGCTCAAAGGGACTGCACCAACCTATCCTCATGTGGGCTCAGCAGAAGAGCACAGGCAGTTATTTATGGCTCTGAAGCCTAAGCAGCTCTTGGAAATGAAGACACCGTGATCTAGTTAGGTTACAGAAAATAATGGGCACTATACATGTGCTTTGATATATTTGCTTTTCTTTTGATTTGTCTGAAAGCCTCTCATTCTCTGTCTTTCTTCTCCCCACTGTCATTTTCATTTTTTCTCTTCCCATTCCCAGTTCAAACCTGACTTAGACAGTTTATGAGGGAGAACTAGAATAAACCCCAGAATAGCCATTGATCTTAAGGGGATCAGGTTTCTGCCTGTATCACTCTGTCCTTTGGGTGCTGCTGATGCAATTTATTTTATATTAAAGGTTTATTAGGGAAAACCATTCTTGCTTTTTGTTATGTGTTTCTATATTTTTTTCCAGAAAAAATGGAAAGAAGCAATCACCAAGATGGATTCATAAAACAATTAATAATGATAAAAATAATATCTTCATTGTTATTAATGACCACACTCTGATCTTCCTTTTAAGGCAATAGATCACCCTATCATGACTTCTTTGGCTCTTTGTGCAAAAGGGAAAAAAAAAAAACCAACCAGCTTCTCATGGTGTATAAAGAAATTGAAACCTGTTTATTTATGACCGGATAAGAATGAGCTGCCTCATTAATGTGGTATAAAATGGGTATAATTCAGCATTCTGTACAATCCTCCATGACGTGTTGACAGGTGCTGTCATGCACTATCACTTTTAGGTTATTGCACTCTAATAGGCTACAATTATAGCTCATTTAATATGATATGACAGTGGGGAAGCACGTGCAAGGTTACAAGCAGTTACACTTACCAAACAAGCTGTTGCCAATGAATACAGCTACAGGTAAATATTGCAGGGGGCAAATCCCTTTTCCACTGCCACAGAGCCCAAGTGTCTGCGGCTACAGGTCTTATGCATATAGTTCTTGCAATGAAACATTTGTGCCTCACTTTTCCTCTTATTTTCCCCACAAATGCCAATATTACTGCTTTCAGTTGTGCCTCCTAATGTTGCTCCAACAGTCGAAACCACAGCAGGGGGTGGAGTAGACTTGAAGAAAAGCCGAAGCTGTAAGTAGCACAAGATTTATAACAGTTGGCAGCCCAACATCTCATCTTGTACAAACAACTCGGTTTCCTTTTGGCGGCCTGCTGTGCCACTAACAAGGCAGGCTACAAAATTCACCCACTGGGTGATGGGGAAAGGCAGCACAAAGCACACACCAGCATCATTTTCATATGGTAGGAGAGCAGCAAAAAAGTTGGGCCCTGCGCATTGATTTCAATCATTAGAGGGGGAAACTGCAGAACTGGATAGAAATATTTTAAACTGGTTAAAAACAAAAGTCCCCTCAGGGGACTTTAAGATTTTTAAACATTTCCAACCCTGCATTGCAGGGTTTCAACAGGGCAAGTTTTGCACTGTGGCCATGTAGGTGGTATTATCAGCCAAAAAGACACTGCCAGTATGTCTTTTTGTCTTAGCCATGCATTGAAGTGAGTGATTTTGCTACTTTCTTGCCTAAAATGTGTTTCAGTTATTGTTTTAAATGCTGAGGTCATAGCTATTCTTGCACACTGAGCAACTGTATGATATATTCCTTCTGGGAGTGGCCACGCACTTAAATTCAAGGGTTTAGCTATAAAAACTTAGACACTGACTCTGTGCAATATTTTGCACAGAAAACCAGCTCCCTGGCCCATGGGTGCCTCGACAGACAGCTGGGTCACGCCATCTGGGCCAGGATGGATGCAGCCTCTCGTTTCATGCACCCGCAGAGCCGGAGTAACACTCCTCAGCCGGTCTGTAAGGAAACATCTCCTTTGCATTACAAAGAATGTGCTTGTTCGCTGAAACTCTTTCCCCATCAGCAGCAGTCATATGCTTGGCATAGCTCCTGGAAGAGCACACAGGCAGCCTCCTCTGCTCCTCTTCTGCAGCAGGGAAGGCTCAGCCTGGTGAGCTGTTGCCTTCCTCCCTCCCTTCTTGAGCAGCCTCGTGTCTCCTTCAGAATTCATTTTTCCCTGCCATTCCTTACACATTTCCAAATCTCCAGCTCCCACCATGTTCTCTGTGTGTCTGCTTTGGCTCCTGCCGTGGGCTCGGTGAAGGAGAAGGGAGGTCAGTCTCAGGTCAGGTCCATGATGAAGCAACAGCTTCTCCGCCAGCGGTAAATGATTCCCAACCAGCCCGGTGTGCTTGAGAAAGTGGGCTTTTCTGACCACAGCTACTTTTCAGGGGCAATGTCTATGCACATTTCAGCTTGATCATCCCAGCTGGTTGCTATGTCCTGCAGACTTGCCCAAAGGATGCAGATTGCAGCCATTGTCTCATACAAACCCTGTTAAACTAACCGTGCCCTTTGGCTCTTCAGGAGATTGAACTCCTAAAGAAAACATCACAAATAAATCCCTTTCCAAAATTGGTGGCATGCTATTTTGCATTTTTTCATGCTATTTTCTGCCTCCAACCCAAGGGAAATATTGAATTAATTCAGTGTACTGGGGTGCTGGAGAGAAAATGCAAGAAGTGCTGATATAATCATGCAACACTTGCCATTTAATATTACTGCCAATTTGATGCAGGATTCTGAAAAATTCCTGTTATTTTTTGGTGAAGAACTTCTTCAGCAGACTGGTGACACAAATTCTATGGTTCTCTCTGACAATCTCCCGTTTAATGTCACTGTTGTTTTCAAATTTTCCTACAATAAAATGTAAGTTGTGACTATTAAGATAATATTAAGATAAACCGAAGAGTATCTAAATATTTCTATTATATTCATTATTAATGTATGCTTTTAAAAGAAAGTTTATTTTGTGTAAAAGCAATCAGGCCTTTTGTTTGTGACCAATCTCAAATCTGATAGCGTTTTTTTCAGTTATAAAACTACTAAAATATCAAAGCTTGCATTAGTATGCCAGTAATGTCACATGGCTAAGGTCTACTAAGAAAGTGTGAGTGCTAACTTTGTCTTGACAAAGAAAACTCTGCAGGATAGAAGCTACAAGTAGTAGCATCTGTTATACTCCAAATAATATTGCTACAAAAAGAAAAAAAAAAATCCCCAAACCAAAAAGAAAACAGACTGGGTCTGAAGGGGCACAAAGCAGAAACCTTCACTCCTAAATTTTCTATTATTTTTCTTGTTTGGCATGAAAAGTTGTCTCAGTAAATTGAGGCACAGTAGGACCCAAAACTTCTGTCTCTGATCAGTGTTTGGATGGCAGGAACCGTATTATTGTTTTTGATGTGTTTTTTTTTGTCTATATTTGAATGAAGATTTTTTTTTTTTTTTCACTAAGTGGGAAGGTTAGGAAAGGGACTAAGGGTTAATGCTGCTTGAAATAAAAATCCAAGTGAATTTCTACAATTATTTACTGAGGTCTCCTGAGGGTTGCCACAGATGGCATGTGATCTTCCTGCCTTGGATGGCACCCAGCACCTGTGGATGAGGCTGAGGGGTGAAAGGAGCAGTGCCAGGAAGAACATTGGACATGGAGATTTTCTGCAAACTGGTTGTAAAACAGCACCGGTAGCAGAGTCCCTGTTACAAACTCTGGTGATTATATAACTTCTTTTGAACTCCGGTGATTATATAACATCATGCTTGTAATGAGCACCCTTCTTCCCCTTTCTCACCATTACTTTCATAGTCCTGGGAAAGCAATTTATTTAGTGCCCTTTGCTATGTACAGAAATTCAGTTGTGGCTATGTGATTTTAGTCAAGTTTTCAGGAGTGAAACAATGTGTTTCACCCTGCTACTGTAGAGTAGATTTCTAACACATTTCATAACTTTCATTATGAAAGAAAATGTCAAGTAGAGAATTCAAAGTCCTCTTTTTAGTGTCTGTCTTTATGAACTGCTCACAGTGGATAATACCATAACCTCTACTGGTATAATGGAGCATTATCAAAGGCAGACATTCTCAAATCAACAGGGAGGTAGAGACCTGAAAGGCTTTTTGTTTTGTTTTTAGTTTTGATGGAGGATGATCAGCTCCTTGCAAGTACCTCTTGGTTTTAGGCTTTGTAGTCAATGTGATAAAACCATGATGAAGTGGTGAGCATTATCTTTTCCTTCTTTGTTCCTGAGAGCTATGACCTGTAGTTTTTGTATGAATAAAATATCTGCTTCTTTCTTCCTTCCTTCCTTCCTTCCTTCCTTCCTTCCTTCCTTCCTTCCTTCCTTCCTTCCTTCCTTCCTTCCTGCCTGCCTTCCTGCCTTCCTTCCTGCCTTCCTGCCTTCCTGCCTTCCTGCCTTCCTCCATCCCTTCACTTTTCCCTACTTCTCCTTCCTTATCACCTTCATCTTTCCCTCCTCTTCCCTTCTTCCCTCTGTCTCTTCCTCTCCTCCCTGTCCCTTTCTCTTTCCTCTATTTTCAAGATAAATCCCATCCTTGCAAATTTATACCTGACAGGGATGACAACTAGAATATTTGCTGGAAAAACAATAACACAGAGCAAGACTCAATGATTCTATTTCTCATATATATTTCTTT